CCAGAGGAGTCCCACAGGGATCAGTCGTTGGACCTATATTGTTTCTGTTATACGTAATGATCTCCCAGAAGGAATTGATTCGTTCCTCTCGATGTTTGCTAATGATGCAAAAATTTTGAGGAGGATCAAGACAGAGGAGGATAGTATGAGGCTACAAGAAGACCAAGACAAACTGAAGGAATGGTCTTACAAATGGCTACTAAAGTTCAACCCAAGTAAATGTAAGGTAATGAAACTAGGAGGAGGAACTAGGAGGCCAGTTACCGGATACCGAATGGGAGATGAAGTACATCACGAAACGGACAGAGATAAAGATCTGGGAGTTGATATCACGCCAAACCTGTCTCCTGAAGCCCACATCAGAAGAATTACATCAGCGGTCTATGCGAGGCTGGCTAACATCAGAACTGCTTTCAGAAACCTGTGTAACGAATCCTTCAGAACCTTGTAAACCACATATGTAAGACCAATCCTGGAGTATGCAGCCCCAGCATGGAGCCTGTATCTAGTCAAGCACAAGACGAAGCTGGAAAGAGTTCAGAGGTATGCCACTAGGCTAGTACCGGAACTAAGAGGCATGAGTTATAAGGACAGACTACGTGAACTGCACCTCACGTCGCTGGAAGACAGAAGAGCTAGGGGAAACATGTTCACCACATACAATATTCTCAGGGAAATTGACAGGATGGACAAGGATGGGTTATTTAACACGGGTGGCACACGCGCAAGGAGACACAAATGGAAGCTGAGTACCCAAATGAGCCACAGAGACATTAGAAAGAACTTTTGCAGCATCAGAGTAGTTAGTAAATGGAATACACAAGGAAGTGATGTGGTGGAGGCTGACTCCATACACAGTTTCAAATGTAGATATGATAGAGCCCAGTAGGCTCAGGAATCTGAACACCAGTTGATTGACGGTTGAGAGGTGGGACCAAAGAGCCAGAGCTCAACCCAGCAAGCACAATTAGGTGAGTTCATATATATGCGACCTAGAAAGACACATATATGCGACCTAGACACATACATATGTGACCTAGACACATATATGCGACCTAGACACATACATATGTGACCTAGACACATATATGCGACCTAAACATACATATATGTTACCAATACAGATATATGCGACCTGACACATATAGAACCTAGACACATATATATGCAATCTAGACACACATAAATGCGAACTAGACACATATATGTGACCTACACACACATATATATGACCAAGATACATATATACAACCTAGACATATACATGCGACCCAGACACACACATATATGCGACCTAGACACATATATATGCGAACCAAACACATATATATATATGCGACCCAGACACATATATATATATGCAAACTAGAGACACATATATGCGACCTAGACACACATATATGCGACCTAGACACACATATATGTTACCTAGACACATATTTGCGACCTAGACACACATATATGTTACCTAGACACATATATGCGACCTAGACACATATATGCGGCCTAGACACACACATATATGCGGCCTAGACACACATATATGTTACCTAGACACATATATGCGACCTAGACACATATATGCGACCTAGACACACATATATGCAACATAAACACATATTCATTCTACAAGGAGAGTTTTCATTCTCCGACTAAGAAGTGAAATATAAGTGTGTTTGTGTAATATTAGCGAGCGTTGTGACGGGTACAATCGTAGTGTTGTTGATGACAACATCAACCATGTAGGTTGTTGATGACTACATCAACCATGTAGGTTGTTGATGACAACATCAACCATGTAGGTTGTTGATGACAACATCAACCATGTAGGTTGTTGATGACTACATCAACCATGTAGGTTGTTGATGACAACATCAACCATGTAGGTTGTTGATGACTACATCAACCATGTAGGTTGTTGATGACTACATCAACCATCCTCCCACACAACCACAGCTTCAAGCAGGTAGACGAGGGCCTCAGTAGAGTAACGCTGGTCTTTGACATCAACCGTTGATGTCGTAGAGTAACGCTGGTCTTTGACATCAACCGTTGATGTCGTAGAGTAACGCTGGTCTTTGACATCAACCGTTGATGTAATGGTCACCTCGAAGAGGAAATTAAAATAAAGATGAACAGACACACTACCTCTGGGTAAGAAGTCATCACTACAGGATCCCTCCCACCCATTAACCTCTCTTACACGAGCTTCACTTCAGCTGCTGAACACAGAATGGGAGGTCAACTCTCAACTTGAAGCCAGGAGGGGTGAGGGGGGGGGGGGCTGACGACTGAGTAGACTGCGGTCGGGATTCGTAATCCTAGGGTCAGGGGGATCGATTCCCGGTAAAGGCGGAAACAAATGGGAAGTATTCCTTTCATGCTGATGCGCCTGTTCATCTAGCAGTTATGAGGTACCTGGGAGTTAGACAGCTGCTACGGGCTGCTTCCTGGTTTGTGTGTGTGTGTGTGTGTGTGTACTCACCTAATTGTGCTTCAGGGGGTTGAGCTCTCGCTCTTTGGTCCCGCCTCTCAACCGTCAATCAACAGGTGTACAGGTTCCTGAGCCTATCGGGCTCTATCATATCTACACTTGAAACTGTGTATGGAGTGAGCCTCCACCACATCACTTCCTAATGCATTCCATTTGTCAACCACTCTGACACTAAAAAAGTTCTTTCTAATATCTCTGTGGCTCATTTGGGCACTCAGTTTCCACCTGTGTTCCCTAATGCGTGTGCCCCTTGTGTTAAATAACCTTTCTTCATCTACCCTGTCGATTCCCTTGAGAATCTTGAATGTAGTGATCATTTCCCCCCTAACTCTTCTGTCTTCCAGCGAAGTGAGGTTTAATTTCCGTAGCTTATCCTCGCAGCTCATACCTCTCAGCTCGGGTACTAGTCTGGTGGCAAACCTTTGAACCTTTTCCAGTTTGGTCTTATCCTTAACTAGATATGGACTCCATGCTGGGGCTGCATACTCCAGGATTAGCCTGACATATGTGGTATACAAAGTTCTGAATGATTCCTTACATAAGTTTCTGAATGCCGTTCTTATGTTGGCCAGCCTGGCATATGCCGCTTATGTTATCCTCTTGAATGGGCTGATGTGTGATGTCAACCCCCAAGTCCTTTTCTCTCTCTGACTCATGAAGAATTTCATCTCCCAGATGGTACCTTGTATCTGGCCTCCTGCTCCCTACACCTATCTTCATTACATTACATTTGGTTGGGTTAAACTCTAACAACCATTTGTTCGACCATTCCTTCAGCTTGTCTAGGTCTTCTTGAAGCCTCAAACAGTCCTCTTCTGTTTTAATCCTTCTCATAATTTTAGCATCGTCCGCAAACATTGAGAGAAATGAATCGATACCCTCCGGGAGATCATTTACATATATCAGAAACAAGATAGGACCGAGTACAGAGCCCTGTGGGACTCCACTGGTGACTTCACGCCAATCGGAGGTCTCACCCCTCACCGTAACTCTCTGCTTCCTATTGCTTAGATACTCCCTTATCCACTGGAGCACCTTACCAGCTATACCTGCCTGTCTCTCCAGCTTATGTACCAGCCTCTTATGCGGTACTGTGTCAAAGGCTTTCCGACAATCCAAGAAAATGCAGTCCGCCCAGCCCTCTCTTTCTTGCTTAATCTTTGTCACCTGATCGTAGAATTCTATCAAGCCTGTAAGGCAAGATTTACCGTCCCTGAAACCATGTTGGCGATTTGTCATGAAGTCCCTTCTCTCCAGATGTGTTACCAGGGTTTTTCTCACGATCTTCTCCATCACCTTGCATGGTATACAAGTCAAGGACACTGGCCAGTAGTTCAGTGCCTCATGCCTGTCGCCCTTTTTGTATATTGGGACCACATTCGCCGTCTTCCATATTTCTGGTAGGTCTCCCGTCTCCAGTGACTTACTATACACTATGGAGAGTGGCAAGCAAAGTGCCTCTGCACACTCTTTCAGTACCCATGGTGAGATCCCATCTGGACCAACAGCCTTTCTAACATCCAGATCCAGCAGGTGTCTCTTGACCTCCTGTGTGTGTGTGTGTGTGTGTGGTGTGTGTGTGTGTGTGTGTGTGTGTGTGTGTGTGTGTGTGTGTGTGTGTGTGTGTGTGTGTGTGTGTGTGTAAAAAATCAGTTGATTGATTGACAGTTGAGAGTCGGGCTCAAAGAGCCAGAGCTCAATCCCCGCAAGCACTATTGGGTGAGTATAACTAGGTGAGTACAAAGAAAAGAGTCCTGACAGACATAATACAAAATAACAGGATTGCCGCCTCTACAAAATACAGCTGTCAATTTATTACAGAGAAAGAACACCTTCAACTTGCTCTTGGAGAATGTTCTAGACACCAACCATTGGACCTTGAAACAGACAAATGCTTTCAATGTGCTTATACACCCACTTGGTGACTGTCAACCCGAGTCATCATAACTCTTAGGAGAGAAGCCAACATGTCTCTGATATTCTGACCAACAACTGGGAAATAATCTACAGATCCAATCAGGGACATGACATCGTCCATGCACTATATATCATACTTACAAATACTATGTATAGATGCATACATCTATCACAGCCAACTTACATATATGTATTTTCCTACAAAATGAATATTTTAATAATTTATTGTATCTTTAATACTTTTGGGTAACATTTAAAGTCTTCATACTTTATTCCTGCAATGTTAAATGTAAATAGAGTGAAGCAGTTCAGTTATTCAGCCTGTAATGTCAATTAAAGTGATTGTATATTTTGTAATTTCAAAGTAAAAATTTGAAAGCATAAAAGAATTTTCATCCAAAAATCCGTTTCGACATGACAAACCATCTCATTCCATTGTTGTGTCACAGTCCATTAAATTATGATATATGTTACACTCGGATAATATTACATCATTAGTTTAGTCTGGTAATGAGAGATCTGAGAAGTTGTGTAATGTTTAATTGTACGAATACATAAAATTAAATTAAACCTTGCAATCAAAATACAGTTTTTCCTTCGCTATTAGTAATCATTTCTGGAATTCCCGGTTCTCCCACCGCACACTGCACCAAGCAGACATCTCCCAAGGTTCTACCACTGCACAGTTCACCAAGCAGACATCTCCCAAGGCTCTCCCACCGCACAGTCACCAAGCAGACATCTCCCAAGGCTCGCCCACCGCACAGTTCACCAAGCAGATATCTCCCAAGGCTCGCCCACCGCACACTGCACCAGGCAGACATCTCCCAAGGTTCTCCCACCGCACACTGCACCAAGCAGACATCTCCCAAGGATCTCCCACCGCACACTGCACCAAGCAGACATCTCCCAAGGCTCTCCCACCGCACAGTCACCAAGCAGACATCTCCCAAGGCTCGCCCACAGCACAGTTCACCAAGCAGACATCTCCCAAGGCTCGCCCACCGCACAGTCACCAAGCAGACATCTCCCAAGGCTCGCCCACAGCACAGTTCACCAAGCAGACATCTCCCAAGGCTCTCCCACCGCACAGTCACCAAGCAGACATCTCCCAAGGCTCGCCCACAGCACAGTTCACCAAGCAGACATCTCCCAAGGCTCTCCCACCGCACAGTCACCAAGCAGACATCTCCCAAGGCTCTCCCACCGCACAGTCACCAAGCAGACATCTCCCAAGGCTCGCCCACAGCACAGTCACCAAGCAGACATCTCCCAAGGCTCGCCCACCGCACAGTCACCAAGCAGACATCTCCCAAGGCTCTCCCACCGCACACTGCACCAAGCAGACATCTCCCAAGGCTCTCCCACCGCACACTGCACCAGGCAGACATCTCCACAGGCTCGCCCACCGTACAGTCACCAAGCAGACATCTCCCAAGGCTCTCCCACCGCACACTGCACCAAGCAGACATCTCCCAAGGATCTCCCACCGCACACTGCACCAAGCAGACATCTCCCAAGGATCTCCCACCGCACACTGCACCAAGCAGACATCTCCCAAGGATCGCCCACCGCACAGTCACCAAGCAGACATCTCCCAAGGCTCGCCCACAGCACAGTTCACCAAGCAGACATCTCCCAAGGCTCTCCCACCGCACAGTCACCAAGCAGACATCTCCCAAGGCTCGCCCACAGCACAGTTCACCAAGCAGACATCTCCCAAGGCTCTCCCACCGCACAGTCACCAAGCAGACATCTCCCAAGGCTCTCCCACCGCACAGTCACCAAGCAGACATCTCCCAAGGCTCGCCCACAGCACAGTCACCAAGCAGACATCTCCCAAGGCTCGCCCACCGCACAGTCACCAAGCAGACATCTCCCAAGGCTCTCCCACCGCACACTGCACCAAGCAGACATCTCCCAAGGCTCTCCCACCGCACACTGCACCAGGCAGACATCTCCACAGGCTCGCCCACCGTACAGTCACCAAGCAGACATCTCCCAAGGCTCTCCCACCGCACACTGCACCAAGCAGACATCTCCCAAGGATCTCCCACCGCACACTGCACCAAGCAGACATCTCCCAAGGCTCTCCCACCGCACACTGCACCAAGCAGACATCTCCCACGGCTCGCCCACAGCACAGTTACCAAGCAGACATCTCCCAAGGCTCTCCCACCGCACACTGCACCAAGCAGACATCTCCCACGGCTCGCCCACCGCACAGTTCACCAAGCAGACATCTCCCAAGGCTCGCCCACCGCACACTGCACCAAGCAGACATCTCCCAAGGCTCGCCCACCGCACACTGCACCAAGCAGACATCTCCCAAGGCTCTCCCACCGCACACTGCACCAGGCAGACATCTCCACAGGCTCGCCCACAGCACAGTCACCAAGCAGACATCTCCCAAGGCTCGGCCACAGCACAGTCACCAAGCAGACATCTCCCAAGGCTCGCCCACAGCACAGTCACCAAGCAGACATCTCCCAAGAATAATGAAAGAAATAATCCGTAAAGGAGTAAAAAGCACTACTCCTAACCAAAACATAAACCTGATAATATTCTACAAAACCAAGAAGACTTCCGAACACCTTATCAAAAACAGCCCGAAGCCGACGGAGAACCCTCTACAGCAGTCAAGCGTTGTATACATGTACACTTGCCCCCACGAAGGATGTAACCTTCAATGTAAGTACATAGGTATGACGTCGACCAAGCTGACGAGGCGTTTGACATGCCATCTTCAATCTGGTGCCCCTAGGAATCACATGAGACAAGCCCATGACATTACTCTAACAAGAGAAATGTTGAACAAGAATACTTGCATAATAGACAAAACCCAAGATTCAAGAAGATTACAAATTCTTGAGGCAATTCACATAAGAATAGAGCGACCTACCATGAACACCCAAATCACGGAACTATTTTCTCTACCCACCATGAGAGTAAGGACAAGACAAGAACATATCGATGCCAACACAGAAGACAATGTCCAACATAACAGGCCAATTACACTGGATTAATCTTTGTGTTTAGATAGGAGATGCCTCGTATGGGCCAATAAGCCTTCTGCAGCCCCTATGTTTATCCCTTATGTATCCCCCCATGTTTTCACCTTCATTGTATTATCACCTGACCTAATGCGGGTATAAATCAACTAGTATTGTAAGATTGTTCACTTGAGAATGAACCATGGAGGTTCGAAACGTCGTGCAAATTATACAAATAAGTGTAATACACTCTATAGTAAATCACTTCTTTTCTTCACCTTAAAAGTACGAAAATGAGTTTTGGAGAACTCCTATTTCAATTAAGCCCTGATGCTAAGAAAATAGTTAGAGGGATAGAAGCCCTAAACCAGAAAATAATAAATACAGAATATGCGGTCATATTCAATGAAACATGTTTGAAAGAAAACCTGCTGCCAGTATACACCAATATATATATATATATATACATATATATATATATATATATATATATATATATATATATATATATATATATATATATATATATATATATATATATATACAGCTAAATCACTCAAGTACAGGCGACTGGAAGGTCAATACCTCTTTGTTCCCATAGCGTCTGAGACGCATGGCTCCTGGGGCAAGAGTGCCATGGGATTTCTCAAGGAATTGGGTTCCAAGCTCATTGACGTCACCAGAGACCCAAGGGCTTCCAGTTTTTTGTTTCAGCGTCTAAGTGTGGCGATCCAGAGGGGAATTGCTTGGTGTGTCCTCGGTTCCTGTCCGGAAGCGGAGGAGCTTCAAGAGATCCATAACCTTTAGGCATTTGTCTTGTATGTTTTGTAACCTTTAAATACACAATAAAGGAAAAAAAAAAAAAAAA